AGGTCCAACACGGGGCGCATCCCAAAAGGGGATTATTGTAGCCAAGAGACCTGAGGGCCTTACTATTTCAACTTTGTGACTTTTTGATGTTTCTGAATGAGTACAATATACTAAATTGGAAACGAGCCAGAATGATTTGTTTAGGTATTGCTTGCATGTGCCCCATACATTGTGCATTCATCGTTAACACTGTTAATACTGTTTCTTTGCTATACACTGCTACCTCTTCCTTTGATTCCTACAGTAAGTTTTTGAGAATTTTTTTTTATTTTTTTGTTTGTTTTGTTTTTAAAGCCCTTTTACTTGTTATTTTCTGTTGGAATCATAAATATGTACATTATTCCAGGCATCGGCAGCTGCAGTCGTTTCTGCAACGGGTCTTTCTATTCAGCTAATAAACAATGCCGATGAAACAGCGGTAAGGATTTATTGTTGTAAAAGGGGTCCATGGAGTTCGGGACTGGGAAAATCCCTTAAAAACGTGCTCTTTTCAGCTCATAACTCATGCGATTCTCTTCTTTGCTATTAATGTTGTCGGTTTTTTCGTGTTCTATCCACTGGAACTCGTACAACGAAAAACGTTTCGGGAGACGAGGTACTGTAGGCCTTTCCTGTCCTCGATATCATAATGTAGACCCCTCCTGCTCTAGTAAGTTCCAAGTTTTTCAGGAAATGCGTGGAGACGCGGATGATGCTTGTCAGGGAGTTGGACAAACAGGAGAAGATACTGCTCAGCGTACTGCCGAAACACATAGCCTATGAGGTTTTCTGCCTTGAATAGAAAATGTTCGAGAAATACCTATGTGCTGGAATGGCGTTCGTTAACGAGCGCACGAAAATGAAATGTGAACGATTTTAGGTGAAAGATGACATGGAAGGGCGTGAGAAAGAACAAATGTTCCACAAAATCTACATACGGAAGCATGAGAATATCAGGTAAATCTCGGTTTGCTGAACTTCCTTCCAACTTCCTTCCACCGAGTTCCTTCGGCGTACCCGAATTCAGGAATGTTTCTCACAGGTGTCGTTCCCAAAGGGATATCTCCCGTGCTTTGGAGGATTTCTGGGCCGGTTCTGGGCTAAGAATAGAGGAACGAATTAAGAGCGAAGAAATTTGTGAAAGTAGTAAGTAAGCGTGCAAGATAGATTAAAATTGCAAGAAGAAAAATGAAAATCAAGATAGAAGGGAACAGGATAAGGTACGTGGCGTCGATTAGTCCCGTCTGAAGGATGCGCCTCGCATTCGACTTACATTCAGAATCGTAGAGGCGCATTGAACGCCTATGTGGCCTATACAATGACTTGCGCTTGGCAGCTAATCTTCAAGTCTGTGCTTCTACTTATTCTCCCAGTCGAGTCTGGTGACAATCAACCGACCCCAGAAGGATGGAAGGCTTGATTGACCGGGATAGATATCAATCTGAGAAAATCAAAATGCCATCACAACATTACTGCTGAATTCATTCAGTCATTACTACAGAAGGTTTCCCTGCGGCCACTTAATCCCTCCCAAATCGCTAACTGAGTATCCCAGGCTACTATGGAAGCTATCACAGATGAGAGCTTAAGCTTCGTTCGAGTATTTTCGTGAACTTACTCTATAGAAGCTTTCCA